GAAGTGTGTGAAACCCTACCAGTCTGCTAGGTTATATTCATGGATCAGGCCAGAGCAACAGAACACAGACTGCTTTGAACATGCATACTGTACTGTCTCGACTCCAGACTTTTTAAACTGTTTGCACTTACGATTTCAGTGGATTGCACTTTAGGATCAAGTCCTGGAACATTTGAAAATGTGTGGCCTTACTATTGATCACCAACATCAGAATCAATTTAGATTATTGGTTCTGAATCTGTCAGTCTTGACACTTGGGGGCAATAAAGGACCCTTTCACACGGGGTTGCATATCAGGTATCCTATATACCAGATATTTACATTATAATTTATGACAGTAGGAAAGTTATAATTATGAAGCAGCAATGAAATAATTTTATGGTTAGGGTTCACCACAACATGAGGAATTTTATTAATGGGTCACAGCATCAGGAAGGCTGACTACTGCTTTAGAATCTGTTTAAAATTCAGACATACTATTTTACAATTAAGATGCCACTTCTAGGCATTAATGTGAAAATAAACCATCTGGAGATCTTGTCCTAATGCATGCCTGGTGCCTTTGGATGGTCACCTGAGATTCGGAATTTCTAATAAGCTCCTAGGAGGCCATGTCAGGAAGGCTGGCATAAAAGTCATTTTGAGGAGCAAAGAAACCTTAAGGCCTGACTCTTGAGTAGGAAGAAATTCTCCAGGTGGATCTCTTCCTGTGAATCTTTGCTCACAACTAAAGGACATTAAAAGATTATACTTACACGTTTTATTACTCTGGAGACAGTGAAGATGTTGTCATAGATGTTTTTCATTTAATGTGTCTCTAAAAAACCTAATTGTTCCTTTGGTAAATTTTTCATTTTCACCTTTTCATTTGTAGGACTGACACAATCATCCTCATAGATGTGTGAGGGGGTGAAATGCAACGTATGTCTAAAGCACTGAGCACTGAGGCTGCTACACACTAAATACCAGGTGAACACAGGCTGTTGTCAGTGTCATTGGGACTATGTTCACACAGAGGGGTAAGGCCCTATCTTATGGAGCAGTCACTGCTGAGGACTGCCTTGACACAATGTGCTTATTTTATGGGTGTTTCTGCCTTTTCTGTATGCCATTTACATATTTTACAGAACAAAATCTATTCAATGCCTTGGGCTAGAGAGTTGGCTTTTGTTCTTGTTATTGTATTGTGGTTGTTGGGGTGTGAGACAGACTGTTGCTATGGAGCCCTGGCAGGTCAGGTGCTTACTATGTTGCCCAGAGTGTCCTTGGATTTGCAGCAATCCTCCTGCCTGAGCCTCCCAAGTGCTAGGATGACAGGTGTGGCTCACTATGCCCTGCTTCTTCAATTCAAATAAAAAATATATATTAGGTAATTATGAGACTAAACCACATGACATTTCTGATGCTTGATTATTTCTGTACATGGAAATGGTAATATCATGTAGTCCAGCCTTATGAACTATGAGTCCAACACTCTATTGTCTGTTGTAAACAGATCATTCACTCATTCTTGACTCATTCACTCTTTCACCCATTCATTCCCTCACACTTCTCTCATGCTGTTGTTGCTTCTTCTCCTCCTCCTTCACGCTACTTCTTCATCTCTCACTCAGTATACACACACACACACACACACACACACACACACACACACACACACACACACATTCTGCAGCAGCTCTCACATAGCTCTGCACAGCCATCTCTCTCCACACCGCTGCTGCTGCACCCTCACTGCTAAACTCTGGACAATCATAAGTTACATTTTCAGGGCCCTACCCATTCTCAAAACACAAGATAAGTCATGTGGTTTCTCCTAGGCTAGTAATGTCACATTGACCCATGCACGTAGCTCTGAGTTGATGAGGGGTCCCAGATGGTAAACAATTGGCTGAAACTTGAGGGGTCAGAGCAAGAGCAGAAAGGGAGCTACTGCAAGGACTGTGTCTTGATGTAAACAGTCTAGCCTTGATTTAGCAATAAACAATACCTGGGAATTAGTTTTTGTGTATATTCTGTAGAGGCAGCTTAATCTGTTTTGGACCAGTTATAAGACCTTTTCAAAATGTGTAAAACACTGTCTTTGAGACTGAGGATACTGTTACTTTCCTGTGTCAGTAAAGAAGAATATTCTGGTATTATTTCTATATATCAGAATTATACAGCTTAAACAGAAATCCACAGTTAAATGTGTGCCCAGAGTTGTAAAACACACTACCAAAGGGCTGTGGAAAGCACCCTACAACTGTTCGTATTAGGGAGACATCACAGTGGCAATGACAAACGTGCAGACAGAAAACAACCAGTTTCCACAGTTAGTGCCTCAATGGCTTTGCCAGGTGGGGCTCCATATCAGGGAATTACACATCCAGTGGGTGGACCTGTCAAACACTGGTTATCACCTGAAGTATACAGCCACGGCCCTTGGCAATGGATGGAGACACTCACCTCCTGAAAGTTGTCCTTTTGCCTCTACAAACACATGCTGTGACACATACTTGTATACTTACATACATGTACCTACTCACACACACTCACATACAATTACTATTTAAAATATAAAAACTTGACTAATGTAGGTTCTGTATTGTTCTGAATTATCAACCAGAGAAGACTACTCAGATAACAGGTTCAACAAATAGAAAGTTTTTATTAGCTGGCTGGCAACCACAATGGGTATTCAGGATCCCAGTGTAGCCCCCCCTCCAGTTTTTCTCAGGGTGAACTTTTAACTACAAAAATCATGTCCTGGGTGGATATACTTCAGGAAACAAGAACAGTTAGCCAGATGTGGAACTACAGAAGCCAAAAAGCAAGTTAGTACATTAGAGACTTTCCCAGAACTATGGACTTTGATGGATTAGGTCTTTCTGTTTTGTTGTGGCAGGTGATGGGTAGTGTGTATGGACTGAGTAGTGTGGCCTGAATGGTGTTTCCACCATGACGTCAGTTGTGCTAAGGTCTGGGATCCTGTTACAGAATTAGCTGATTTCACCCCACTCCAGTCCAATGTAAATGTCCTGCAGTTATGTGAGGCAGGTCAGGGTTAGAGATAATGCCTATGAGGTTAGATGGGTCCAGTGCATTTTAGACTTACACTATTTTATGTTATGGTGGATTAACCATGATGCAGTTTTCTCCAAAGTCAAATAACAGTTTTACTCTGACTCTTTACTCCTTGACTCTGCAGTGGGTACCTGTTCATATTGGAATCTAATAACCTTCAGCTTAATGACTCCTAAGCATGAATTTATATATCTAGCTATGGCTTTAGAGGTGCAGGGCCAGCAGTAATCAGAAGGAACAGGAGGGCTAGAAGTCCTGTAACAGCTGACACTACATGTTCCAGGCAGGAGGAACCTGAGTATGAAAACAGAAACTCTGCATTTCCTCCATGCAGAGTCTTTCCCCTTCTATATGGTATTTTCCATGCATAGCCTAATTAGCTCTAAGGATCCCTAAGTGGTTCACATAAAAGCAGCAAGTTTCTCTCAAGACCATACAGTAACTCCCATATTCTGTATACAGCAGGTCATGTGGTCCATTATTTTTCAAGCCTACGTCAGCTTAAGAAACTACCTTTTACTCTAACTTTGCAATAGACTTTTCCAGTACAAATAAATCCTAACATTCTGTATTCTGACACCCTAACTTCCTCTAGTTACAATCAGCCATGCTGTGCTGGTTGCACCAAGAGTAGCTCCAGAAGTTTCTAATCCTAAACTTACTGTGAGGGCTACAATATAGGCATCTGAGAGGTTGAAGGAATTTCCACTGAGACATAAAAGGAGGCAACGTAATCAGACATAATAACATACAATATATTAACATCACTTGGATAAAACAGGGTCAGTCTTCTCTTTAGTGGACCTTGGCTGGTCCTGGTGATAAGTCCATCTCTCTCAAGCAGGATTGCTGGCTTCCCCTGCACCAGGGTCTCCTTATTCCTCTGTGATGCCCTTGATTTGGGAATTGTGTGTCCAGGTGTGGATGCCATCTACCTTGACAGCAGTGGGGATGGTCAGGATGACCAGAGAGGATCCCTTCCAGCAAGGTCCTAATTCAGCACTTCCATGTCTCTTGGTCCACACCCTATGTCCTGTCTATAAGGTGTGTGGATGAGGTATTGGACTCTGGAAGGTAGCCTTAACTGAGGAGGCCACAACCTCCTGAGTCTGCTGCAAAGTCTACACAAATTAAAGCAATGGATGATTAATAATTTCAATATCTGCAGGAGGATATTAGGAGGCCTCCAAAAAGGATTTCACATAGAGTCAGTCCTTTTCCATATGGGACCTAAAGAGGGCAATGGGAAGGAGTCCCATCCATCCTTTGCCAGTCTCTAAGGGTAATTTAGTTAAGGTCTCCTTTAGGGTCCAATCTATCCTCTTTACTGTCCTAAACTTTGGGGATGAGATAGATGCACAATTTAATTTCCAATTGATCCCCAGAACAGTGGAAATATTTTTAGTGACCTTGGATGTAAAGACTGGCCTGTTATCTGACCCCATGGATAATGGTAATCCAGACCTAGACATTATTTCACTTAAAAGTTTCTTAACTGTATTCCAAATAGTCTTGCTGGAAAAGCTCTCTACCCATCCAAAAAAAAGGTGTCCACAAAAATAGGCAAATACCTGTATCCATATTGTCCTGGCCTAACTTCTGCAAAATCTACTTCTCTGACTCTGCCTGCTCCTAAACCTTGTTCTCTAATCCCTGGGAGTGGCATCAGACCTGAGGAAGCATTTGTTTGATGACAGGCTTGACATCTGGAAATAATTTCTCAAATCATCTGGTCCATTCTTGTGAAAAAGAATCTTTTCATATAAGTTCAGTTAGCCTGATTTTTCCCAGATGAGTCCCTTCATGGAGTTGATGAGTCAAATGTCCCCCAAAGCTGTGGAACAACTGTCCTTTCATCAGTTTGTTTAAGATAACGTTGGGTGGATGGGGGCGTCTTCTGCATCCAGGTTCTCTGCTACTTTAAGGTCCTCTTCTGAGTGATATGGCTTATCAGCAGAAGGGGGTCTGGGGTGGAAGGCTTTTTTTTTTTTTTTACTGCTTTTGAGGCAGTCTCTCTGGCCACCTCATCAGCCTATTTCTGTTATCTCTATGAATCTACTTCATGGTGTATGGTAGCAACTATTTTTGTGGCTGAAATTGTAGCTAACAGGACTGAGATCACTGTTTTATTTTTTTTTTATAACATTTCCCTCTGGTCTTAAGAGGCCTCTCTCCATGAGGATAGTCCATGCTCATGTGCAGTGGGAAAGGCCTATCTACTATCAGCATTATTTTTATAGTCTTCCTCTTCCCATTAGAGAGCCTCAGTGAGTACAACAAATTCTCCTGTCTGAGATGAAGTCCCTGGGGGAAGGATATCTGTCCAAAGATGTGATCTATGGTCACTTCACCTGCCCCAAGATACCTTCTTCTTCCCTAGATGAAACTGGTACCACCAGAAACCATGGGAAATGACCAAAACTGATTGATTACATGGGACATCTATCACATCTGGCCTCAGTTCCTAAAATGTGGTGTTGACCTGGAAGCCATCAAATTGGATGGCAGCATCATTGATTCTGGCAGCTGTTTGATGAAATGTGATTCTTGTCTAATCTAGAAACCAGGTCTGACAACAGGAGAGTTAGTCATCTATTTGTCTGGAGTCCTTCTCAAGAGAGGTTCACTTCATGTGGGGCCATCATCAAGAGATCTTATCCCAGAGTCAGCTTTTTCACTTCCTTTGTTAGGAGAACCATGGTGGCTATAACTCCAAGACATACTGGTTATCCTGCTGCTACTGGCTCCAGTTTCTTAGAGAGGTAGGCAACAGGACATGACCAGGGTCTCAGTTTTGTGTTAGCATCCCCGGCAATGCCTTTACTCTCATCCACAAATAGGTAGAATCACATGGCTACCTCAGGTAGGGCTGATGTTGAAGCCCAAACCAGAGGCTACTTTAACTCCCAAAGTCCTCCTCCACTGCTGGAGACCAGCTCAAGGCTTCCTCGGTGCCCCAAGTAGAAGGTATAATGGCTTGGCCAACTCAGCACACCTGAGTATGCAGACCCAGCAATAATCTACATCCAAAGGAACATCTAGAATTATCTTTGTGTCTGAGGATTTGGGATCTGAGTAATTGACTGGATTCTGTGAGTGGAAAGCAATCTCTTCCCTTCCTGCTGTTCATCCCCAGGTACTTAGTCTTAGGGGTGCAGAGCTGAGCCCTTATTGTAGAGACCCAATGTCCCTGTTGTTGCAGTGTTTCTAATAGTCAATTTGTGGTGTGGAGATATTGATCCTCAGATTCTGCTGCCAGAAGGAAGTCATCCATGTATTGCAAGAACATGACATTTTCAGTCTTGGATCTGAATGCTTGCACATATCTGTGGAGGGCTTCATCAAACAGTGTTGGAAAATTTTTAAAACCTGGAGGCAATCTAGTCCATTTTAATTGGTCATTGTTCTATTTTCCATATCTATTTATTAAAAGGCAAATATCAGTTGACTTGATTTAATGAACAGAAATACCGAAGAAGTCATCCTTCATATCTAGCACTGTAGACCTGCATATCAGGGTAGAAGAGGTAGAAAGGGAGTGAACTCAAGAGTCTGTGTGCATTAGGATCTGTTGGATGAATATCCTGTCCTCTCTTGTTTATCTCCTGCAGGTCTTGTACTGGCCTATAATTCTCTGTTCCTGGTTTTCACACAAGCAGCAATGGAGGATTCCAAGGGAAGTGGCAAGGGACCAATGTGCCAGTTTCACGAAGCCTGTTAATATGAGCTTTGATTCCATGTTTTGCTTCCTAAGTTTTAGGATATTGCTTACCTAGAGAGGAGTAGCATTGCTGTTCAGTTCTACTTTGACAGGTGTTTGGAGGAATGCTAGTCCTGGTGGGTTTGTTTCAGCACAGAAATAAGAACATTTTTAATAAGTCTAAATCTTAATCCAGAAGAGGGTTGTTTAATAGGATATACTCTTCTCACAGTGGCATGGTTAGCATAATATTATTTAATAATTTTGGATGTTTTAAATCTATTAAGACCTCATCTTTTCAAAATGTGTTTCTGTCCATAGTTTGTGGTGCAGATCACTTCCAGGAGAGGGTGTTCCCAGGAATGAGTGGGAGGCTGTCCCCCTTTGCATATCTACAGATTTTAGGTGGTCCAGGAGCAGATCTGTTAACTGGTAGCTCCTTATATTATCATTTCTCACTTATTGGCTTGCTGTCCATTTTAGAACCCAGCAGGTGGCTCCCATGACATCCAGATAGTTAATGGGAGCACTCACACACACTATCAAAGTAATCCTGGGATCTGGGGCAGCAGAAACCAGATCTCATCAGTCTGTCCATAGCTGGTACACAGATGCAGACCTGTGTTGTCTGTTCAGGCATTCATTTTTCAAGAGGTCCATTTTCCATCAGAGTGCACATCAAGTACATCTTGGGCTTTTGTCTTTCCAATGGCTGGTCTCCTTGCCTTGTGCATATTGGTTTTTCCCCAAAAGCGTTCATTTTTTATGTCGTCTTCACTCACTCTTTGTCCTTCCCTTGCAGATCCTCAAAGCCAGGATCTTTCTGGTTGGTAGGTGGCCACCATAACCTTAGCTGGTTTCCTAGTCCGTCCATCCTCTCGGGTATTTTTCTTATGATTTACCTGGGAAACATTCTCAACTAACTCTGACAATACTTTTCCTTCAACCCTTCTATTTTCTGAATTTACTTCCTAATTTCTATCTTGTGCTGACTGGGAAACACAAGCCAAGTGAATAAATAGTCTCTGGTCTCCTATGGTCTCCAGCTCAGTTGGAGTGTAGGTCTGAAAGGCCTCGAGGAGGCAAATGGGAGTCATCTGAACCCAGAGTTTTCTGGCTTACCTCAGATAAATTTGTGGGCTGTCTGGTATTGCCCGGAGACCCCCCTACCAGAGTCTGGCAAAAGTGGTTGAGAGACTTCCTACCTCACCAGAACTTAGGTCCCAATCCAGCTGTTTGGCAGGGAAAACTTCTTTGATAATCACAGGCTCAGTTGCTGATTGCCCATCATTTCCAATGACCTGTTTCTGGGCTTGCTGATGAATTCTTTCTTCTCCTAGGTTGTGAAGAGGGTTTGAAGTAGCTGCTGACAGTATGACCAAGTTAGCTTGTGTTTGTAAACCATCATTTCTTGTGGAGAAATCAAGCTTTGGGGGCTTTCCTGGGAAAGGGAGGTTTTTGAGATTTCCAATTATATAGATAACTATATAGTGGTGAAAGGACCATGTATCGTAAGTGACTGGTGACTTTCTCTCATTCCCTCCTTTTCCCTCTCGGTTGCTCCCCGTGAGAAGGTCTGTCAAGAGGAGAATGGCTGGATTAAGGGACCAAAGTGAAGCACACTGGGGAGATCCAAGGGAAATTTATCCTGTTGCAACCTACCTGGGGGAGTGAGAAATGACTGGGAGAGTGAGAAGGGCCATTGGATTGTTTCACTTTGTGGCCTGTACTGGTGCAAAGGGTGGCAGCCATTTTTCTACTCAAGGAGAACTGATAAGACTGTGGGCCAGACATTGTCCTACCCTTTGATTTCATTTATTTCTTCTGAAATTAAAGGGTCTCTTTGAGGGAGAATTTGGCTGGTACTTCCTTATCAAGGATGGGGAATCCTGTACCAGGAATATCCAGGCCAGAATGTAGGACAGTATGTCCAAATGCCTTCGTTAACTAAAATCTCCATGGTGTGCCCTCTAAATAAGAGAAAGGCTAAAGGAGCCTTCATCTGGATAGCCCACATGGAATAAGGCCAATCAAAGGAACAAAAAGTAACTGGTTTTCTTACATAGACCTGTTCGCCAGACTCCTGAGTTTTTCTCTGGTAGTCCTAAAAGTAAGATTTCATCAGGTTCAGAGGGTCTCCTGAGTGAAAGACTTTTGACCCATCATTTCAGATTTTTCAAAAACAATAACACACAAAACAGCAAAGTGAAACAGAAAAGAAACATCAGACACTACAACGTAGAGACCACACCCTTCTTCCAAATTTGTCTTCCAGACCCAACCTAGAGTGCCCAGAGTTCTCAGAGCCCTCAGAGTTAGGAAATAATGCTGCTTTTAGCTTTCCCACAACTATCAGGACTATATGCTAATATAGACAGATCATTGCCTAGACCTCCAGAGGCTTCCAGATGCCTCTTTTTACAATTTCTGCAGTTAAAATCTTGCCGATGGCTCCTGCAAACACTTGACCTTCCAGATTCCTTGGCTTCCAGGCCAGGAACTTACCAGTGGCATCCACAAGAACTGGGACTCTCTGATCTTTGTTTTGGCCCCAGGATGTAAGCCCTCAAGGACTGAATACTTATCTGTGAGGTCAGGCTTTGGGTAACTGCCATGAGTCCCCCAATGACTAGGCCTTGCCATTCCATAAGCCCCCTGCCTGAGAGTTTCTGGGGAACCAAGCCCAGTCAGAAAAAAACTGACAGCTACTGTCTGAATGCCAAGATCTCACTGGGGCCTCAAAATGTTTTAGGTTTGAGATCATTCAAACATTCACCAGTGTGACGCAAGTTTTGAGTTTTGTAAATTAGTGGCTTTTTATGAAAATGATATTATCTAGGACCAAACCAGAGAGAGTTTGCCAGACAAGGCCCTGGCTATTTTTAGCCCAAGGATTTTAAAAGTAAAGACTGAACTGGAGAGATAGCTTAGCAGTTAAGAGCATTGTCTGCTCTTCCAATGGGCTCAGGTTCAATCCCTTGCACCCACATGGCAGCTTATATCTGTCTATAACTCCAGTTCCAGGGAATTCTCTAACTTTACACAGATATACATGCAGACAAAACACCAAGGAACATTAAATAAAAATAAATTCTTTTTTAAAAATGGAAAAACCCACAAAGATATAATTTGGTGGAGCCATATTTTCTCATGTGCTGCCTGTGTGTTGGCAAAGGTTGACTTTGTAACAGATGTCTAGCAGAGGACTCAGCCATCCAATCAAGCAAGCGTTTCACACCAAAGCAGAACTTAGCTGTTAGCTTGTTTAATCTTGTGACAAATTACCTTGTAGGAATAGCTGAAGCAATAAAATACGTTGCAACAGTCAGAGTTTTTAAGATCACAAGAAAAGAATCTATTTTCAATAAAAGATAGCAACAAAAGGGAGAGAGAGAGAGAGAGAGAGAGAGAGAGAGAGAGAGAGAGAGAGAGAGAGATGTAACTCTACATACAATCCTCTGTACCGCAGAGGGTAAGAGGCATGGATAAGTCTGTCCAAGGATACATTTTTTCTAGACTTGCACTTCAGAAAAATGAAGTGAATCAACTGTTCTTTCCAATATCTTCTCCCTTCCTGGAGTCAGAGCTATACTTCTGCCTTCTTGAGTTCTGAATCACCTTGGGTTTTCTTCAGCCTCTGGGACAGGCACAGACCAACAGGAACTCCAGGGATGGAAAACAGCTTTGAGACCCTTGACCTGGAGGTTGGTGTACACAACCTCAACTCACCATAAAATGTTACCATGAATTATGAAACTGCATCAAAACCAGCTATGAAACCTGGAAGCCCATAGCCAGGGCAATAGATGAGGCTCACAGCAGCCTAGCCACCATTGCATGGCTACAATGCCAAGTACCTTTGAGATACTTTACGGTTCAGTGTGTTTTGAAAATGTGGGGGTCTACCGGGGTTCACGGTATCCTGGAGCCCCCCTTCTCCCCAGCAGAAAATGCAGTTCCTGAAGTTCATGGAGTTTTCTACACTAGGACTGGTCAAATGCTACTTTAAAAGCAAGGTTAGATTGATAGATTAACCAGCTGAAAAGTATTCACTGATGCTGTGAAAAAAAAAAAAAAACAGCAAAGCCCACTGATAAAGAGGAAGACTGAGTTCTTCACCCAGTGGTTCCTGGGTGAAAACCAACATGTCCAGTGTGGATAAGACATCTCCTTTTGGATATAGTGATCCCTCAGCCATCGAGAGAATGACACAAGAAAAGTCGTTGGAAGTGGGCTGACAGACACATTGATGTGGAAATCAGAAAGTTCTACCACAGCAGCCAGCCAGCACCTGAGCAGAGCAATTCAAGTAGCCATTCTACATGGCAACCTCACCAGAAGCATAGAATCATGAACCCTGAAAATCCAGGAAAAGTTTGAAAAAGGAAATACCAGGAAGAGAGACTCATCTATAGGTAGTCTGAAGAGCCAGCCAAGCTTTGGAAGAGGTTGAAACAGGAACAGGATGAAACAGAGATTAGGTATGAAGAGCCTGGCCGGGGTCAGATATGGAAAACCCAGGAAGAGTGTTGGATACAGCTAACGCAGCAAGAGTATGTTGAAGGCCATCAGGAAGAAGCTGTGATGAGGTGACATTGTGCATGGTGTCACAAGCTCACCTACTGAAACACAGGGGAATGTGTTCAGAAACACCACAAGGAAACGTAACTAAGGTTGTTGGAACACCTTCTAACCGGTGATCATGTAGACTCTGACCCTTGCAGAGCTCACACAAGCCCTGTGGACACCTATAAGAAGAACAAAGACTGTGTGGCAGTTTCTATTTAAATCAAATAATCTGCCTGTCCTGTCACAAGAGAATGTCACTAGTGAGTCAAAAGTGGAAAGGAGAGTTAAGAGGATTAAAATTTGGATACATAGCAGAGCACTGGAATAATTCTAGAAAATGACCAGAAGAGGACACCACCCACAGCCAGACATTCTGGGAGGAACCGATTGCCCAATCTGCATAGACAGTGTCAGCAATGGCATGCTATACTACCACATCTTGCTATGTATACCTGAGAAAAAAGAAAAGGCTCTTGAGGACCAAGAGATGGGCAGAGGACACAGGAGAGCTCTGACGTCACAGCAAATGTGAAAAAGAAAATCAGAGGTGCACTAGGTCAGAAGCCAGAAGATGAGATTTTAAGTTGTGCCTTGAACTTGAGAATTACTAGAAGAGTCTTGTAGACACCAAAGGACGGCAAATGGCTAAAAGTGAAGTCATCAATTTTGATATGAAATTTCACATGAAAAGTAATAAAACTCAAGGACATCCAAAGGTTCATTCATTTAGTACTTTCCATTCCACGACATTAAAGTCTGGGGGCTACAAGTCAGTCCAAAGATGGACCCAGGTAGTAAACCTCTTTGCAAAGGAAATTATCATTGTGCCAATACATCTAGATGTACACTGGAGTCTGCTGGTCATAGACCCACAGAAAATGAGTATTGTCTGCCTCAATTTATAGGGACAGAAAATACCTGATATTTTTGAGAAGTTCCACTGGAAGTTCCACTGAAATACCTGTGAGACAGAAGGTGGATGTTAAGGGTTATTTAAGAACAGACTTGAAGTCAATAGGATGAACTTGCTGTGATGAACCACCCCTTTCTAAAGGAGGCCAGATATTTAGAGCTTTTGGTGAACTGGGTCTCATGTGGCTATCCAGACCCCAGGCATCCACACTGACCTTGGTGGTAACAGCAGCCATGGACATCAATCAGACTCTAGCTGCTGCAGTGCTGTGGACCCAATCATGCATGACCCTTGGCAGCAGCTCATAACTGGATGTCACCATGACCCCAGGGAGCAGCACACTCCACTCATATCTACATGCTCCCAAGAGTGGCATGGCAGTCTAACACCAAAATGACCAACCACAGTTGGCAGCCTAGATCCAAGGTATCCCCATGACCTTAGTGGCAACATGGACATCAACAAAGACCCCAGTTGTGGTAGAACCACAGACCCAGAGATAGCTTTAGGCAGCATGAGAGTGAATGTGGAATGTTACAGGGAGGAGAGGAAAAAGATGTAAGTATATGTTAATTGGAACTAAATTAATTTTTCAAAAGGAGCGAGTACCATAGGAGCAAGTGATGTTCCTCCTCCAAATGATGTTCCACTCTGCTGTGGAGCAAGACAGCAAGTGGAGGTCCTTCATAGTCTCTGGTTCAACTCCTGATTTCAGGATCCTGACTTGGTTTCACTGGATGATGGAATGTCACCTGTAACCCAAATAAAAGCGCTCCTTCTCCAGGTGCTTTTGGTCGGTGTATGATCACAGAAACAGAGAAATCATTTAAGACATCTTGCTTCTCTATACATCCAGTCATTGACACACAAAAATAAGCATTGCACCATATAGAAAACATGAGTTGTTACAAGACTGGGAAAGAGAGGAAGGCACACTGAATAGGTCTTATTTCTATCCTCCCCACCCCCTTTCTCATATCATGAAAGCCATCAAGGTGAAGGCTAAGCCATGTTTCCTTTGGGACAAATGTAGGGTAAAAGGGCCACTCAAAGAAACTCACCCTTATTCAGAAACCAGAGACCATAAAAGAAACCCACCCTGGCTCTGAAAGAAGAGCCAGTGAATGAAACACCCTCTGGCTTAGAAACCAGAGCTAGTGAAAGAAACACACCCTGGCCCTGAAATCAAGCCAGTGAAAGAAACACTTTAGCTTTGAAACCAGATCCAAAGCAACACACCCTGACCCTGAAACCAGAGCCAAAGAAACATACTTTATCCCTAGAATCAGAACCATTGAAGGAAATACTCCCTGACCCTGAATCTGAGCCAAAAGGCTAAAAAGGGCCACTGAAAGAAACACAGTCTAGCCCTGAAACCAGAGGCAATTCTGCCTCTGACCAACCATACTGACCAGTCCCTGAGCAGGAAAACCAACCTATCCCAGAGCAGAAAATCTTCTCCCTGAAGAAACTAGGCCCCTAGGAAGCCCTGTATAAGCCCCTTTACCTGCTCAGTCGTGAGCTGTCCTTTTCCACCCTGGCAGAGGCGGCCACTCTCCTGATTCCTCCTTCCCAAATAAATCTCTTTCTTAAAAAAGGTTTGGGTGAAGGTCTTCTTCTGTCATCATGGAGCAGAACATTGGCTGAGAAGTTCCCTTGGCGAGGGCTGGGCAGAAAAATAACAACTTGTCACAGGAGCCAGAGGAGATTGCCACATTTCTGCAGGGGTTTCCCCTTTAACAAAGTGAAGCAGGAGAAGTGACATCTTGGGCCAGAGCTGAGAATAAATAGATACCTCTGTTATAAAGCTCCCTTATGGGAGCAGAGCAGAAGAAGAAACAGATACCTCTGCTGGGAAGCCCCCTTAAGGTAGGGCAGGGTAGAGCAGAGCTCAGCTGTAACAGCTCTCCAAATAGGAACAGGATTGCTACATCTTGCATGAAGACCTTCCCCCATCACATCCCAGTTTCATGTACAGCCTGACTTCATGACAAGTCAGGATACCTTTCTCCCTTCACAGTTGTAGGGAGAGCCTGACTTCCTGACAAATCAGGATACCTATACCATTCCCTCCAGAGCTGTCCCTTCACAGATCCTGGTATAGTATGATTTTCTGACAAGTCAGGACACATTTCCCTCCAGAATTGTAACAACTGCAACAAATACTGCTTAGAGAGCTGTTTCCTTTCTCCTATACCTCTGAGCACTATGAAAATATGAACCATTGCAATTCAGTTGTAACAAAACTACTCTTTGGGCTACATGTAGTGGTGTAGATATAATCTTAGCTCTCTGGGGTAGAGGTAATCGTGTAATGTGGGGTCAGTCAGCATCCATATGAACACTTTGTCTTAAAATAAAGATTCAGAGCCTTCCACATCCAAAAACATGTTCCCCTCTGTTGTGGTGACTTCATGGGGTCTTCCTATCTCTAAGGAAGGAGTTCCCTTGGAATTCGTTACAATAGTATTTGTATATCTCCTGCAGAAACTGACCCAGATTAACTGGTATAGTTCCACGTTTGTATGCTTGGCTTACTTACTCAAAGTAACTCTGGCATTCTAAACATTTTTGTTAGATTTCAAGGAAACAAGTATGCTGGATTCTCTCTCTCTCTTTTATTTTTATTTTTATTTTTTGGTTTTTCAAGACAGGGTATCTCTCTGTATCTCTGGCTGTTCTGAAACTTGCTTTGTAGACCAGGTTAGCCTCAAACTCACAGAGATTCACCTGCCTCTGCCTCCTGAGTGCTGGGATTAAAGGCGTGCACCACCACTACCCAGTTCTGTTTCTCTTTTAGACTTTTCTCTCTTTCCTCATGTGGCCAAGGGCAGCCTTGAACTCCAGATCTTCCTGCTTCCTCCTCCCAAGTGCTGAGATTAAAGGTGTGTGCCACCAACTGGCTGGCTTCTACGGTTAACTAGTGGCTAGCTCTGCCCTCTGACCTCCAGGCAAACTTTATATGTCAGAATACCTTCTATACCATACTCGAAGTTTCTTTAATTGAGAATTAACTTTAGTACATCCCCTATTTTCTGGAGAATAAATCTGTTATTGACTGAAAATGACTGTTTAATGTTTTAAAAGCCGAGAAAGTAAAATACAGATTTAAAAATAAGAACATATCAATATGAATGTATAAACTTTAACCAAAACTGAGAACACTTTTTAAATTCCCTAGTTTTGGTATCAGGCAGACTCAGAACTTTGGATTCATCATTTCATTCTAGTATAGGACAGAGGCTGAGTATATATTGTTAATTTACATATGCATATTTAGTGTGAGCCTCTGTCTGTGTGTGTGTGTGTGTGTGTGTGTGTGTGTGTGTGCAAATGTGCACATAATAGCCCACAAGAGGAGGTTAGATGAAGGCTCACAAGAGTAATTTTTTCTCCTTCTACTTAGGTCTCCAGAGATGGAACTCAGGCCATCAGGCTTAGCAGCAAGTACTAGACCTGAGTTAGGATAAAGGACACCGTGTGAGACCTGAGAAAGGTAGTGTGGGGTTAGAGTCTGACCTGAGTGAAGCTTTCTGGCTGTGGGGGATTATGAGGCAGGACCTGAGTAAGACTGAAGGGTGGGGCCTGAGTGATGCTTTATGCCTAGAAGCTGGCCAACACTGGGACTTAGAGCTGAGGCATGACTCTGGTCCAGCCTCTCATGATGGAATTTTTCATCGGCCTCCTTGGCCAATCCTGAGCTCAGGTCCCCAGGTTATTTCTTATGGTGCACAGAATTCACAGGCTGGAGCAAAGCTGACATTGGTAAGTTAATAAAAAAGAGCAAAAACATGCAAAAGCAAAGTAAAATGTACTGTATTAACATTAAGTTTGCTACAGTATAGTTACCACTATTGAAGGAAGGCATCTTAACATTATTCAAATTTAGTTAGTATTTCTTTTTTCCTTTCCAATAGACAACCTTTATGCAAATGCACCCCCTCTTGTGTTGCTCATCTGATTTATTGGTAAGTAAAAAGTATACTACATTAACATCATTATACTATCGAAATACATACACCACCTGGACTTTGCTCAGTCTGTGTAATAAATAATTCTTGATGCTCATGTGCAATATACTGCTGTTCTTAAAGCCAAACAAACTCCTGAAAAGCTGAACACAGACACAGCATTTGGTTGATCAAATTTGATCACCATGTGGAGGTATATTACAGCGCTAGGAACAGTGATATTCAATAAGATTCAATCTAATCAATAAATATGACTTAGTTACTGTTCTATTACTATGATGAAAGAACATGACTAATGCAACTTTTAAATGAAGCATGATGAAACTAGTCCTGTGAGACTGTAAGCAAGCCCCCATCATGGTGGGCAAAGGGTAGCAGACAGGCAGGCAGACATGGCGTTGGAGTAGCCTGGTTTGAGCTTTTGAAATCTCGAAGCTCACCCCCACTGACACATGTCGATCAACAAGGCCACATTTTCTACTCCTTCACAAACAGTTTCACCAGCCAGGAACCAAGTATTTAAACAAATAAGGAGATCATTGCTTTTTTTCTCAAGGACCAGTTTTGACATGTAGAAGGGTTCTTGAGGGGAGGAGTGAGGAATGAGGAAGTATGATATTATATAGAAATTTATAATATATAGAAATTATATGCCATTACATAGAAATATATGCCCAGATATGAGAAAGACAAAAGATAGCTTGGGAAGGGCTCTGGGTCAATACCCAGTCACCCCGACTTTATTTATAATGGACCTTTTATACATCAGCAAGGGGAAGGGCAAAAGACCTCTCACTTCCAAGGTCAGGGTGTAAAGTACCAACAAGTATAGACCCTTCAAAACACCTGCTACCCAAGTCTTTGGCCAAATCATCCTATTATGCAACCCTGTTGGGTAAAGCAAGCTCAGACGTTCTGAACTTGAGTAAGGCCTTACTAGGATGCCTCTGTGTGCCCCCACACTTTTTCATTCAAACCACCTCAAACACATTATAAGTATAAATACATTCCAGATTTGAAAGTGGCTCCTCCTGATCAACCCAGGGGGGAGCAGAGCAATGCAGAGGGTCGGAGCTGGGGTTTCCCAGCCTGTAAAGTTCCCTGAATGTCACCGTCTTTCAGAAGGACAAGGCTTGCTCAAAACCATCTCCAGAACTCTTCCTCAATGTATTTCAGTCAGGGAAGTTAGTCAGGTACATGGACTCATTGTGGTGGCTCCAATTATTTTAACAAAAATGGCAGGTAAAATGTGTGTGCACATTCACAAGGCTCTGGGAATTAAAGGCCACCATGGGAAGCTGCTCTCTGAGCACTGTGGTCCCTTGAAATAATGTGGACAAGGAGGAAAAAATTAAAAACCCTGGAACAGTTAAGTTAATGATTTGGGGTTTTTTTTTTAGTTGTTGTTGTTCTCTTTTTTTTTTTTTTTTTTTTTTTTTTTTGTTCAACCATGAATCCTTCATTGAGTAAATTCTCAGTGGTGAGTTTTCTGCCCCCATCTGCTTTGTGAGGATCCAGCAAACACCATCACTCATCAAAGGAGATGGACCCTGATTTTAGTCTAGAGGAGGTTATAGTTCATTATACAATTATGTATTTGTAACCAAGTCTCTCCATATAAATGACTGGGTTGATTTAAAAAAAAAATGTTTAAAGTACATACCAACTGTAAACTTTTGGCTCTTAATTGAAACAGCTGTTATTCTCCATTCCAGGTTATATGGGAAAAATGAAGGAGATTCCATGATCATGTTAGGAACATGAGCAATTTTTAACTCCCCCCTAAAGCCCACAGCGTGACATAGAGTCATACCATCTTTTTTCTCCACAACATCAGGAACTCTTTGATTTGATTTGATTTTGTTTTGTTTTCTTTAACTTTTTTTTTACTTTACATACCAACCACAGTCCCCCCCCTCCCTTTCTTTTTCTTGCCCCCCCCCCCGTACCTTCCCCCATCTCACTCCCATCCACTCTTCAGAAGGGGTAAGGCCTTTCTTGGGGAGTAACAAAGTCTGGCATACCACGTTGAGGCAAGATCAAGGCTCCCCCCACTGCATCCAGGCTGAGCAAGGAAAACCACAAAGTCATCCCACTTTAAATTAGTGTTCCCTTCCCTTCCATATGACACTGAAATGTGCATTGTGTATCTCAGGTGTCAGAGTTTCAAGGAAAAACAGATTTTTCTGGTCCTTCCTGTACATGACCCATGGAGAGAAAAGTGGGGTTAGGGTGGGGTTCCCTTCCTAGTAGACGCTGCAAAGAATAGCTGTCCATTCTGAACAACCAATGTGTGTTATTTAAATCATTATGTCTCACTGATGTCACCATATTGAATATCTCTTGTTGCTCCAGGTTTTCACTTAGGTGGCTCCCAGATCCATTCTCTACAGAATTACCTAGATACCACAGTGTGATCCTCAGGTAATCCCCAAAGCTACTATTAGCCAACTCAATCTCTTCACTGCTCACTTATTAGAGATGATAACAAGTGGACATTAACTGTTGGGAATTTCATACTCTTATACAGCAGGTTTACTCACTATGGAAAAAATTAAAAGCAAAGCTAATTCCATCCATATGAGGACAGTCAAGAAAAAAATGTGGAAAGCTTGAATAATTTATGAAGCCATTAATATGAAATTTCATGACATAATGAATTAGAGTCAAAGACACTGAAACTGAGACAATCTTAATCCTTCATAGATAAGAACAAACACACCCCAGAGATAAATAGGAGTCCTATTTGGCATAGTCTGTGGCATAATATAGCAGATGGCAATTAATAGTTCGGATGTATAATTCTCTGATGGAGTAACCTCATCAAGCAAGGCTTATGAGGCCATAGACTTTGAATATTGTTTGCTTCTGTCTGTAATTTCACATGTGCAAAAACAGCTGTGGAATCTCCCTGTTGCCTGTGCTTTAATGTGTCTATATCGTGATTATATCTCAATCTCATGGGCATTAATTCTGTGTAAAAGATGACCCCTCATTAAGCTGTATTGTCCATTTGATACCTATAATGATAGCTTCACAGAGTTTGATGAATAAATATGAATGCAAAGAAATACTGCACAAGTCAGGAATTGTAGTCCCTGAGAAGTGTTTATATTTAGAGCTCAGACTGACATAAGAAAACAGTTGCATCTCCCCAGCCTAAGGCAGCTAATTTAGTGTTTCAAAGTGACTTTGGGTTAAAACCAGGTGCCTTGATAATGGATTTTTAGGTAAATATTCCCTATCTTAGTTCACAAGGACATAATGAGCTACCTGGATAGGTCATAAATGTAAAGACAGCCCAATTATTACTAGAGTGCAAGTGATTTAGTCCTTGTAACCATTCCTGACATCAATTTGTAAAAATACATTCTGACTAGTCAAGGCTACAGAAAATAACTTGACTCTAGCCTATAATGAGGTCTGCAGGTGTTCTTTGGTAACCTGAAGTAGGAAAATATATTTCAAGATTTTAAAATGCTTTTATTGTCACTGTGCTATTGGAGAATGCCCTAGTGAGCTCATATTAAGAAAATTAAGGCAAACCCAAGCTCCTACCAAAGCATTTACAACAAGGCTCTCTTTCTGTAAACACTATTAGAAAGCCTGACATTTCTGCTCATCACAAAATGTTAGATAATGTAATGACTGATTCTTTATTTGCAGCTGCAGCTGCACTTTACAGCCAATTAGGAAGCTGAGGCTAATTACTTGTGTGTATGGGGATTACTCTGTTTCTTATTGCTTACTGAAATGTGACCTTAAAATGTAACTCTATATTCAGCATGAAAGAGGCTATTGAATAGATAGATGATAGATAGATAGATAGATAGATAGATAGATAGATAGATAGATAGATAGATATCTCTAAGAACAAAGAGAAGCTTAAGCCAACATGAGAAAATAGGCAGGAAAACCAACATGAGAAAAGAGCAACATGAGAGAAAAGAGACAACTGCCATCAGAACGTGTGTGCTCGTTTCCTACCCCTCAGATAGAACAAGTTTAGTTTCGCAACTCTGGGCATTCTCTTTGAGCCCTGGTGCAGCCTGGTGCTGGTTCCCTGGACTTCGATACCTTTTCAACTTGAATCATGCAACTAAATACACTTAGAGCCTCACAGGTGAATTGACACTTCATATACAGAGACTGATGACAGCCCCAGGTAGTTTTGTTCTCAAAAGCTTTTCAGGCAGCTCAAAGATAAAATCTGAGGTCTTGAGTTATTTTGTCACAGCAAAATACTGTCCCAGGATTTCTGAGGTAAACACAATTGACATCAAAGAATTGAGATGCAGCAAGAAAAACACTATCCTCAGACTGTTGAGCTCTAAATTGGAAGGTGAAAAAAAAATCACCTAAAAATGGAAATGGTTCAGAATCATCCATTCCCCTTCACACACATTCTGGATTCATACATATGACTTGAATCATTGGGAACAGACCTAATGAGTCCAAGGAAGCCATGTTTCTCCTTCACCAACTGAAACAGTGGTCTTCTTTTGTTTAGCAGCAGCTCATATAGCTAGCTTGAATTAAAGGAGTATGTTATTCTAAAATCACAAATCTAAATCCTGGCCAGGTGCCCTGCACACTGCTCCAAAGGCTGGAGGGAGCCCAGAACTGGTGTCCCAGGTGCTCCCTCCTGTGGCATCATGTCTACTTGCTTGCTGCCATGTTTCCCACCATGAGGATAATGGACTAAACTTCTAAAACTTTAAGCCAGCCCCAAATAATAATAAATGTTTTCCTTTAAAAAGTTTGCCTGGAAATGGCAATTCATCCCATAAATAGAAACCCAAGCTAAGACAGAATATCTACACACATGGGATTTATGAGAGTGGCTTACAAGCTGTGATCTGACCATTCCAACAATGGCTGTCTCCCAATAAAGTCCAAGAATCTAATAGTTGTATGGTTTACAAAGCTGGATATCTCAGCTGCTCTTCAGTATATTCTGGAATCCTGAAGAAGTAAGCTCTCACACCGGTGAAGGAACGAACTTGCCAGTGAGAGTGAGGGCAAGCAGGCAAAGAGCAAAAGCTTCCTTCTTTCCTGCCCCTCGTATAGGCTGTCACCAGAAGGGCTGGCCCAGACTTACCGGAGTCTTCACACCTTAACCGATCCAATCAAGAAAAATCACTTACGTGTACACCCATACCCTTGGTTGTAGACATTCCAGATGTAGTCAACTTGACGACCCAGAATAGCTGTGAAAGCTACACAGTGAAACTGTCTCAAAAGCGAGAAACTAGAAGAAATGGTAGCTTTATGTTGACTTCGGTTTTCAGACTTTGGACCTTTAGAGAAAGTCCTTAGCTGCAGACACTATGCTTGAACCTTGATGTTTTGTGCTTTGTTCTTGTCTCTTTGAATAATGGGAGTCATAATGGGATAGGCAGAGACTGCTGTCTACTTTAATATATTTTAAATGTTTTCTTTCACATCTATGCGTGTTTTGCTGCATGTATGTCTGTGCACCACATGCATGCCTGGTGCCAACAGAAGCCAGGAGATACCAATTCCCCTGGAATTTGGTAGCCACCAGGTAGGTCCTGGGAATTGAACCTAGATCTTCAGAAACAGCAGCAAGTGCTCTTAACCACTGAGCAGCCATCTCTCTAGTACCACTGGCTATTTTCATGATGAATATATTTATATATAAGAAAAGTAAGTGGGCCCGAAGATCTTTCACACAAATAGTACAAGACACTGAAAGATGGGGAAAGGGGAAACCTGGAGCTACAAGTTACACCATGCCTATCTTACATGAGTGTCTTAATACTCCCTTGATTTTTCATAATTCTGTGTTTTATTTCTAATATTCAGTGCTCGGTTAGTGAACGAGCCATTCTATATTTCATGAGAGACCAGGCATGTGGGGAGCAGGATTGCTAGGGTAGAAGTGCTTGCCAGCTAAGCCTATGAACCTGAGCTCTACCCCTGGTGTCCATAGTGGATGAAGACACTCAGCTCCTAAAAGCTGTCCTCTTGCCTCCATAAACACGTGCTATGCCACATGCATGCAGGCATGCATATATGCATGCACATGAACACACACACTAAATGACAACTTAAAATGTGAAAACTTAAATCTGAAGTAGGCATTGAGTTGCTATGAGCTATCCACCTGAGAAAACTACTCAGACACCAGTGTGAAATAATAGAAAGCCTTTATTAGCTGGCTGGCTACTACACTGGTCATTTGGGATCCCACTGCAGCCCAAGCCTTTGTCATGGTGAGCTTTTAAGAAGAAAAAACATATCCTGTGTTGACATATTTCAGTTAACAAGAACAGTCAGACAGAAGTGGAACTAGAGAAGCCAAAAAAACCAAGTTTGTTATATTTACAGCCTTTCCTGAGTCTATGGGTTCTGATAGATCAGGCCTTTGCTTTTGGCTTGGTAACTGGTGCTGTATACACACTGAGTATGATAGCTAAAAGGCACCTCTATCATGATGTCAGTTGTTTTAAGGTCTGGGGCCTATGAAGCTCTGGGGTCCTGTTACAGCACTGGATGATTTTCTCTAAATCTAGGCTAATATAAGTGTTCTGTTGTGATTTAAGTCATACCAGGTTTAGAGATAATGCCTATAAGGTGAGGTGTATTGAAAACACCTTAGACTTACAGTATTTCATGTTACAATGGACTTATCATGATGCGGTTTTATCCAAAGCCAATAACAGTTTTAATCTGATATTTGTATAACTAATATGAAATGATCAAATCAAATTACAAACCACTTCCCAGAGAGGATATAAAATCATTCTCTTATGAAATTTCAAGCATACAGTACAGCATTATTCATTAAAATTACTATGAATAATACCTTTCTAGTAGACTTTCATCCGGATAATTTGCCAACTTGACCATCATCTCTTTTTGTTTGTGCTTCAAACCTGGACAGCCATCATTGTATTCTCCATATCCAGGAGCCTGGGATTTGAAGACAGCTATAAGTGAGATAGTATAACTGTAAGCCCCTCTAGCCACAGAAGTGGCCAGTCCCCTCTACCAAGAATCTCTAACTGCCAAGTTCTACCCACAGAATACTCTAACTGCCCTAACTGCTAAAACTGTCCCCACCCTACAGAGTAAAACGCCCAGTCTCTGAACATGAAATCCCACCAATCTCCACCCTGGAAAGCTCCACCCTAAAAAGTTCCACCCCCTTCCCAAGAAGCTCTATATAAGCCCTGTATCCTGTTCATTTGCTGCTGTTTATCACCTAAGCAGAGGCAGCCATCCTCCTGTTTTTTTCCCTCCCAATAAATCTCTTGTGTGAGATACGTTGTGCAGTGAGACTATGCCATGTTCCTTGGCTCCTAGCTGCCAGGATATCTTTCCATTTAGCTGTAATGCTTACAACAACATTTATCAAGCTTATGTCATTTAGCATACTATCTCCATGTTTAGTCATAATTTTTCTTTGCAAGAAAAATATTCTGTTGTGTGCACATATCATACTATGGCTAATCTTGTTTGTCAAATTGGCCTCATCTAGAATCAACCAAAACTTGAGCAGCCAGTCACACGTGTGTATGTGTGTGTATATATGTGTGTGTGTGTGTGTGTGTGTGTGTGTGTGTGTGTGTGTGTGTGTGTGTGTTTTAACAGATCTTTATTTGTATTTTTTAATTTTTTAAAAAGTTTTTTGTGATTATAATCTAATTATAACTTTTCTCCCCCCTTCCTCAAAACCATTACATTTTCCCCTCCACACTCTCCTTCAAATCATAGCCTCTAATTCATGTATATACATATATATATTATATATATATTATATATACATATATATACATAAAAGGCTAAGTTCATATCATATTACTTGTAAATATGTTTTCAGAGATGACTGTTAGATACTGGACAACAAATTGGTGTGCTCTTCATGGAGCTTACCTCCTCCAGGAGGGATATTTCTTCTTTGGATCATTTATATGGAAGGCTTGCCATAATAATGGATCATATGAGATCAAAAGACCCACTCTAAATCTGAGTCACACCTCCCTGTGGGAGCCTGTGTAAAAGATCCTAGAAGAAGGAAGCCCTGCCTTTTGCCTGATACCTCCCCCCTCTCTCTGGCAAGTCCATCTATCCTGCTATTGAGGCATTCTTCCACTGCTATTACAGGCAGGGTCTTTGAGATTCCAAAATATCCTGAAGACCACGTTAGACATCCAGACCCATGGACTGGACAACCACTGGATTCTTGAACTTTCCAGTGGGAAACAGCCATTGTTGGAATAGTCAGACCACAGCCTATAAGTCATTTCATAAATCCCCTTTTCATATTGATTCAGTCATCAGTTCTGTTCCTTTAGAAAACCCTGACATACATCATATATACTTCTGTTTGTAATATGATGGTACAGGTTAAACCTTAGGCTCTGTATATGCACAGTAATACTCTGTAATTTCTGAAATACATCCTCCATTCTCATATCTTTTATGTTTTAGAAGGCAGGGACTTTTGTATCCAAGCCTGTCTGTAAATGTCCTGTGCTGCTTGGGATGACTTTGAACTTTTGATTCTCCTGCCTCTACCTCCAAAGTGCTAGAATTAGAGACACATACAATCACACGCAGTTGTGTGTAGTGCTAGGAATCAAAGTCAGGTGTTCTTAAACGCCAGGGCAAGCACTCCACAAACTGAGATAGACTCCTTACCCTCCACCCATCCATACTGACTTTTTGAGAGAATCTCATTCTATAGGACAAGAAATGCAAATCCTCCTGTGCCCACTTTTCAAGTGCTAGGATTGCAGGCATGTAGCACCACATACAGCCTTCTTAACTACATTTTATGGGGATGATATGTTACACTGAAAACTGAAGAGCAAAGGAAATGCCAAGGGCTCTGAGATGTTCAATATCGGTTGAGCTGAGGTATCATCACATGAAGACACAGAGAGCAGCAACCAAGCTGCAATAGAAAGTGCTTTGGGTGTGGGGACAGAGGTTTGTGCTGGGTCACTTCTCTGTCACTTCTTTGACCTCCACATGTCTTGTCATATATGAAACAAGCAAGAAAGTTGTGTGTGTGTGTGTGTGTGTGTGCGCACGCGTTGTCATGAATATGTGAGTGTATGCAAGTGAATGATCATTCTCTTCAGTAGCTTTCATTTTTCAACCACTAGGGTTTAAATCCTTTCTTCTGTGTATATAAGGAAGGCACTGTATCACTAAATCACACCCCAGTACTAAAGTTGAACACACTCTTGAGAGTTAATGATCCTAGAGATTGAATATGACATTTGCATGTAAAACACACACTACCATTGAAGTAGAACACCTGCCTATCTAGATTTTATTTTCAGTACATTTTAAAATGTTCTTTAATATCACATTTCCAGCATGAAGTTGTCCCAGGATCATTTATTAATTTTTAAAAACTGGTCTCTGAATTACAGAGAATGAATGATTTAAAAATGCATTGTCCCCAAAAGATTTGCAATGTCTCTGTGTCACTTAAGATTTCATATATTATACTTTTTCTCAGATTTTTCCTGAGGAATAGGAAGGGGGAGTATGGTGACTCTGCATTGGCCCTTAAATTCTGCCCAGATGAACTTACACTGCCTGAGCCATATTTTTGCCAAAATAAACCAAAGCTAGAACCATCTATAGGGAGAAATGAACCTAATTCTCTGTCCAGCAGAGGGGAAAGGAGATGGGTTTAAATGGTGCCAAGGATCTAACACTCTCTCTCCTAGAATTTGCAGTTCAGAAAAATGTAGTAAATCTACTGTTCTTCCCAATAGGATCTCATTTCCCAAAGACAAAAGCTAAGCTTGTGCTCCCTTGAGTTCTGACTGACTTTGAGTTTGCTCCAAGCTTTTGAACAGGCACAGTCCAACAGGAATATAAGGGATGGAAGTAAGCATTAAGACCATTAACCTGGACGTTGGTGGGTGGGGACTCCACTCACTATAGAATGTTGTCATGACGCATCAAAGTGCTCACAACTGGCTCTAGAACCTGGAAACTCATAGCCAGGGCAACAGTGAGGCAGACAGAGAGTTGCCTCCAAAGCATTGACTGTGCTGCCAAGGTCTCCAGTTTGGGGGCAACTGGCTATGAAGGTCAGTGTGATTACCTCAATTTCAGGGTCTACAGAGGACTATTGCCTTCTGGAGCCCCACTTATCCCACAGCACAGAGGCAGTGCCTGAACCCCACTCTGATTTCTAGAGTGGGACTGGTGAGCTGCCTCCTAACAACAGGAATTGATTGAGGGGTTCACACCGAGTTCAAAGTACACTGTGATCCTGTCATATCTATCTGGCTTCAATTTTCTCTTGACCCCATCACCAAAGGCAACCTCCACTGCTAAACAGGACAACTGAGATCTTTACACTGTGGTTTCTGAACTTTAGTAATATGCCTAGCCTTCATAAGACATCTGCTATTGGACTAACTGATATTGCAGACATACATAGAACAATAACCCAGAAGGATCCACCAACAATCAGGCCAAACTGCACTTCAACATGGAAATCAGAAGGCTGTAGCAGAACAGAAAGCCTGCTCTTGACCAAAGGTAAGCCAAGAGCACCTTGTACGTGGCTATCAGACCAGCAGCTTGATACCATGCTTCCTGAATGTCCACGGAAATGTAGAAAGAGAAAAGGCCAGATGGAGGCAGGAAATGATGTGCAGTTTGAGGAGCCAGCTGATGCTCCAAAGAGGATAAAACAAGAAAAAAGTGATATAGAGCTTGGTTTTCAAGAGCCCAGAAAAGATAAGATATTGAATCCTCTAGAAAAGGGTCCATTACAGCAAAAGACACAAGACTGCCAATGGCCCTCAAGAAGAGGATGTGATTGAAGTGAAATTTGTGGGTGGTGGCAAGGGTCAAAAGTGCACTTCCAGTAACATGCAGAACCAACCCAATGTAAAGTACAGGAAGTTGTTGGAATGTCATCAACCCACTGATCACGTAGATTCTGGCCCTCCCAGCACCCACACAAGCCCTGTACACACTTTGAAGATCAAAGGCTGCGTGGAAGGCGATATCCATGGATGTGAAACAACCCAGCTCCAGCCAAATCGAGCTGCCTCTCCTGTCAAAAGGCATCATTTACTGGGCAACAATGAAAAGAGGTATTCACCAGGGACACATATCGAAACACAGAAGAAGGTTGGAATGAACCTCAAAATGAGAGAAGGGGACAACACCCCCAGCCTGACATTCTGAGAGCAGCTCAGGCCCAAATCTCTACAGATGGAGTCACCAATGTCATCCTAAACAACAGCATCTTAATACCTGAGGCTGAGGAAGAGTCTTTTAAGGGCCAAAAAAGAAGGTAGAGGCCAAGACCAGGGCCCTGAATGAACAGCTGACATGGAGGAAGAAATCAAGAGGGCACTAGGCTGAGGGCCAAAGGAGGAGCTACTGAGTTGTGAATTCAAACTCAACATTACGTGAGGAGACATGCAGACTCTACAGGAGAGCCACTGGCTGAATGATGAAATCATTAATTTTTACATGAATCTTCTGATGGAAAGAAATAAATCCCTAGGCTATCCGGCACTTCACACCTTTAAACTTTCTTTTATACCAAATTGAAATGTGGAGGCTATGGGTCTGTTAAGAGATGGACCCATACAATCAACATCTTTTCGAAGGATGTTGTGCCAGTACATCTGGATGTGTACTGGAGCCTGGTGGCCGTAGACCTACGAAAGAGGACCATTATCTACTGGGATTCAATGGGACAAAAATGACCAGATACCCTGGGGATGATTTTCCAGTACCTGAAAGATGAGAGCAGAGCAAGAAGGAATATAGATCTGAATCCTTTGAATTGGAAACAGTACAGCATGCCAGCAGAGGAGATTCCTCTGCAGCTGAATGGGAGCAATTGTGGAATGTTTACCTGTAAATATGCAGATTATATTTCAAGAGGCCAACCCATAACCTTCTCTCAGCACCATATGCCTCTGTTTAGGAAGAAGATGGTATGGGAAATCCTGCATAAGCGCTTACTGTAGCAGCACCCACTGGATGCCAAGGCTGCTCTGTAGTCTTTCATGAATGCTGCCAAGAACTTCAGGCAGGGTGGGTTGAAGAGCCTTGGAACAGGTTCTGGGCTGTAAAAAGGGGGGTGATGCCCCAACACTGTTCTATGTACTGCTAACTTGGGGCAAGGAAGAGCTGCACCTGAAGCAATCTATGAGATGGATGTGTCCACTACATGTTAGAAACTGTTCCACCCACACAACATAACATGCTTGAAAGCATGCTGCTTTAAAGATTGTATTAGTGACTCATGTTACTGTTGAATTCT